TTGTGTATGCAGCAGGCATGAAGGTTGGGTTTGCATGCAATACGTCGGGTTGTATGTGGTGGAGCAGGTCACTGGATATGAAGGGAGGATCTTGAATTTGAACATTAACATGTTTTCTTCTATCTTAAGCTCAGGGCCTACTTTAGGTGCAGCACGTTGTGTTTCAGTAACGAGAGAGAGGATGCAGATAATTCAACCTTGTGGGCCTGCTGGTGGCTGTAAGTAGGTATTGGCGTTGAACTGCTTTTCAAATGCAGTAGTGCTTCGTATGCTAAACTGTGAAGCACATGGATACCTTACGCCATGTAAGTAGTGCCATTCGTTTCATGCCTAAATTCACTGCAGCAGTAGTGCTTTTGGAACAGCAGCCTGGATTTTCATCCAGTCAATTAGTGCCTTGCTAATAAGCGAGGTAATATGCATGATTGATGATATTGCTTGAAACGTATGGTTTGCCAAATATTAGGCAAAAGGCAGGACATTTCGTTACAAACCGTTCAAGAATGTTTGTTCTAAACGACATTATCCATCAACAACGTGAGACAGAGCTAAAATACAGTCTGAAAACATCTGACAAGCCTTAACAACGGCTAACAGCACCAATTCCTGTTCTACTTCTTCAACATGCTTGTTAACAGCCAGATCCACCTGCCGCCAGCCCAAACATCGTCTGACAGCCCCATCACTGTTAGAGAATCTGTTAGGCTAACATTCCCTAACAGGCACGCCTGTTAGCCGCTGTTAGACCCCCTATGAGTTGGTAGGGGTCCCCAAGGGGTGCGTCTTGCTTATAATTACGCACTCCAGCTTCTACAAGGTCATGAGTATCAATCAGATCAGCTAGTGTCTCAATGAAGAGTCCAAACAGCTCCGTAGATAAAGGACACCCTTGCTTCACGCTTTGCTTAGACTCAAACTCTCCCCCCACTTTCTCATTTACCTTCATCACCATGGACATCTTCTCGTACGCTTTTCTCAGAGCATCTAGCATGGGGCCGCCATCCCCCTCTCCTGCAACCGAAGCCACATGTGCTCGCGAGGCACCCTATCAAAGGCCTTCTCAAAGTCAATCTCTACTATTATCAACGGCGGCTGCCCCGCGATCCGATGCCGCCTGACCAGGTGTTGCTTGGCAAAGACGTGATGAGCGGTGCCGAAACCCCGCCTGAAACCCGCTTGGCATGGGTGCCGCAGGTCCAGTATTTCCCCAGCACGTACCAGACGGTTGAGAATCACTGACGCATAGCTCCTCCAACTGCAATGCCCCGATAATTTCCTGCCACCACGGTTCACCCTTCTTCAAAATTGGGGATACCACCGTTTTGGTAAACTGCTGTGGAAAGTCACCAGTTGCCCTGATGTGCTCTAACAAAACGTGCAGCACTGGGACGATACAGTTCACCTCCGTTCCCTGCCTGCCCTGCTCATCCACCCGTGGGAGGCGTGCATAACGGTAGCATTCCGATGGTATGGCCTCAAGCCCATGAGCCTTTCCGTTTGGTAACCTACCGACAGCACGCGCTACCTCCTCCAAGGTGAAAGGCTCATCCAGGATCCTAGCTGCCCGTGCTCCCCTGTCCATGACAGTCCGACATGCTTGCCAAGCACCCTCTCCCAAAGGGGCCCGAAAAAAGGAGTTCTGTGCTCCTGTCTCCCTTAACCGTATTCTCATGGCTATGTCAACTCGAACATGCTAGCTGACCGTGCAAAGATTGGTAGAGACGGAAAACGGGGAGACAAGCTGCCAAGGGCCCTTACACGACTGCTAAAAATGGTACCCTTGGCAGGCATCAAGAGAAACATTACGGCGCACTCCATGCAACCCATAGGGGGGAACAGCACGGCGGCGGACCGAGGAGTGCCGGCGGAAATGCGCAAGGCTCACGGCCGTTGGCGCACGGACGGGTAGAACCTTGTTGCTACCCGCAATCGTCAAGTAGTCCACATGGACAAGCAACCACAAATCCTGCTGCGAGTACACTGCCTCCAGACTCGACACGGCCACTTCATAAGACTCAGGAATCGTCCTTACGGGTTATCCAATCAGCCTTGTTGTTATCGGGCGAACCAGGCAGCTTTGTGGACCACTTTATCCTTTCAGTGCCCTGCTAAAACCATCACTCCCTCCCGCCCTCCCAACTACATGCCCTTGCTATGGCCGCCGGATGATTGGCTTGGATGTCTATGACATCAAGCATCTTCCATATGATCTTCCCAGTGGGTAGGCATCGTCTGTGCCGGGTCTGAGCCCTGTTGTGTTTTCGGTGTCGTGCCGTGCGGGATTAGGCAATCATGTTTGGCTGGCGGCTTGCAGCAGCAACGGCAACAGCAACAGCAGCTGCTGTGTGTGTGTGTGTGTGTGTGTTTGTGTGTGTGTGTGTGTGTGTGTGTGTGCGGGTGTGGTGTGGTGTGGTGTGGGTCTGGATGACAATCTTGTTGTGAGTCATTTTTACGTTCCTCCTGTCGAACTCAACTGCTCTTTCCTCTGCTCCTGTGTACCCTGGCCACCACTACTACTGGGCGAGGCGGCTCATCCGGCGGCTGGTGGAGGAGTGTGCACGCATCGCCGCTGCTGGCATGAAGTGGAAACGGAGAACACGACTACAACATGCGGTCTGATAGCCGCACATCCGTATGGTCGCCCGGTGGTTTTCTATCCGTTCAGGTGAGGAGGGAGCGGACGGGTTCGCGTTCATGGCGTATTGGCAAGTAGGCCACCTGTCATGCTGCCCGTTACTTGGCCGCAGGACACGTACCAGTACGACATGCGCATGCAGTCGCCTTCAGATCACACACTTAACAGGTAGAGGAAATAAGAAGATTGTTTCCAGTAGCCTGATGTGTCTGGTGTCCGTACGTTTGGCTGTCCTGCGTGGGTCCACCAGAAGAAGCAACCGCGTGACAAACTACGACCGACTGGAGGACCACCAAAAGAGCATCAAAGGAGCGTTCCTTGGTTATGAATGTAGCAGCAAGGCTTGCCGGGTCCTGCTAGGCGATAAGTCAAAGTAAGCTCCGATTTCGTTTTTGACAAAATCGGAAAGTGATGTGACAAAATCCGTACGTAAAGTGATGAGGCTGGCCCATCCAAAAAGGAGCACAAGAATCGATGACAGGACGGCAGCGACAGTATTGATGATGAGTATAGGGTGGGGACCGAGCGGGGTGAGCAGATCCTGATGGCGGATTTCCCCGCACAGAATGAACAGCTTGAAGATGTGCAGGAGGTTCCCCAGCAGGGGATGACTATGGCGGAAGAGCCCGGTGTCAAAGAGGGTCACCGAACACCGTAACAGCTCAGACCTGTGCAAGGAGGATGCGCCTGTGGATCGCTGATAGCGCTGTCGTACCGTGGAAATCTGATGTGGCGTGATGATCCTAACTCCTAATGGCTGCAGCTGAGATAGCCAGTCGACGGAAAGACCGGAGCACGGCCGAAACAGGACGACGAAAACGATTACGTGCCCTCGCCATCCGCATCTTGACCAAGGGCTTTGGGAATGGCGCTGCGTCATGCCGCTTCGCGCGAACGCTTTCAACTCCGCCTCGTCAGTATATCACGGTTTCCCAGCTGAACGCATTCCGCTTGTGCTCAGTCATCGTGTGTGCCGTCGACAGTGCCGTGCTTCGTTACTACAAATAAGGCGGCAGCGGTATAGGCCTACATTCACTCGCGTACTCGCACGCTCACCGCGGATGGCGGACCTGAATCGAAAACCCATAATGGAAGTCAGGCAATGCCATTGCGCGTGCGGGCATCATATTACATGTCTACATTCGAAGAGGAGACCGGAGAACAAGACGGGGGTAACTGCATGCGGATCACATTAGGATTAGGATTGCGCAAACAGGCACACAGATGCCAGGAACATCCCACACACAATATGGGATGTGTACCAAAACTTCTAAACTTTTTTGTTATTTCCCCGTATCCTACCAACAGGGCGCGAGACTAGTCCTCTGTCGTCTTCACCCGAGGGTAAGCCGCGGGAGGGCCGCAAGCTCTTCTGGATCTCTTTCTCAAATCCAGCCGGTCTAGGAGTGCGTTGTGATGTACAAGAATTGCGGGGGACTCTTTGTGGGAGGATGATGAAAGGAACAGGACGGCAGGAATTGAACCTGCTTGCTCCAGGCGGAGTACCGCCGAGCGCCCCGATTAGGATTCGTCCCTGTGTATATATCAATTGGTGGTGCACCCATCCATCTTCGCCGGTCACCCGACAGCCCTGGTTTGCCCCGCACCAACAGAACGCCTCCCGGGTTCCCATGACCGGCAGTCTGAAATCCATCCAGCTGCTATGCGCCCTCCAGCGCCTTGCATCCGAGGGCCGCGTCCAGCCAGGGTGCTCGGCGGCGCAGGCCGCTTCAGTCCGTCGGCCGAGCACATCCATGACCGTCAGCCCAGCGCCTATGATCTATCTGCAATGGATCGATCCTAGACAATCCGTTTTGGGGCTCCTGGAGGCCCATAAAGCGCGGCCGGGGCATCATGCGCGCCCTTAAAGTCGACCACGCAATGTCTTCCATGTGCTATATTCCATAACAATTCTATGCGTTTCGGTGCTTTTGGATGGGTACAAAGCGAGAAGTCCTGTCATTATCATCGGCCAGGTCGAAGCCCGAGGTGCCCGCGCGTGAAGCTCTTTGCTAAACTAGTTAAAGCAATAACTTTTTTTAGCTATGGAGTCTCTGTAGCCCGTTCATCTGGCATTATGTAAATGTGTGACCTCTGTCCAGCAGTCGCAGTTTCCGTCTACCAAAGTATGCCCGCTTTGCGCAAAATTTAAGCTATAAAGAAAAGCAATAATTAACTCAGTTGGTGTTCTTGACCTTGCCGTAGTTCGTTAGCCAACTTCCACTCCGGGGCATAGGCACTCCGGGAGGGGGGGGGCCTGCCCGTTGTCTCGGCACACCAGAATACCGTAGTGCCAATAGAAATTGGTGACACACAATGGGGATGCCGTCAACAATGTTATAGCAGGTGTAATCGCTTTACAATTTTTTGAATGAAGAATGATATATTGACGTGCGCTGAAAAATGCTGGGACCCGCTGGCCAGCCAGGCAAGCGTCCAAAGATGTGGGGGAATGAAAGGGGAAGAAGAGGAAGGGAGAAAGGGGGAAGCAAGGGAGCGGAGAGGGGAAAGGAAAAGGAGTTGCTGCGTTTCCTGGGGGTTTCAACATCTTACAGAATATGGCGATGCTCCTGGTGAATATAGCCGCCGACTGTGTATGGTGTGGGGTGGTGGAAAGGTGCGGGTACATGCCAAGAGTCGGGTACGTACGACATGTCGGATCTGTGGCCGTACTTAGGGTTTTTTAGGTCCTTAGGCCCCTGGGCCCTTGCGTCTGCCTATGAATCGGAACGACCTTCACAGGCCGAATTTTGTGGTATATACGGTCCCTATGTCCGAAACGGCAAGAGATTGGGTCATGGGCTTCCCGCGCATCCATGCGTCAGCTTGCTGTGCCAGCAATGGACTGAGTACTAAAGCTACTGGGACGCCATCCAATCATGTCTTATGATTCCTCAAGGCTTTATGTGGATCAGAGGGTGAGCATTGCGTCGCCACCTATGTTTTCCAACACTGATTGTTTTAGCAGCATTCTATTCTTTTTTGTTCATTAAAGGAATACTAAATTGTTTCTCAGTTGGCAGGCTTATGATCTCTTGCCAAGTGTGACCTTTGTTGTACGTCATCCATCGCCCTGTATCAAAAAGTGCAAGGCGAAGTGGATCCTGGTCATCGCCCTGACGGCGGGGCCAAGTATTGAATGCGGCATCTCCTAAATCGACCATTGGTACTTATCTGTCTGAATTTCCTGAGGAGCTGGTACAGTTGCTGTCGTTCCTGGGGACTATTTTTGTATCTGAGATTATTGATGTATTACCGCTAGCGGCACCGAGACTTGTTGGCTGGCCTGCTGTAGCAACGGATAAGTTCAAATGTATGCCGTGTCGAGTGCGGTAGACCACCCATACTGTTGGTATCATGATATCATTAAGTGGGTTGGAGCAGTGGTACGGCCCAGCAGCACCTCGGCGACCCAGACACAGACACTCGTGTTCAATGACAAGGGGGTTCATGAGCTGCAGTGCTGTCCTGAAAGCAGCGGCAGCGGGGTTGGGGGTAGTGGATGGCGATATACTCCGAGCTACAACGATAAGCTTTCTATGGCACTGACCAACGTGCGCTACACGGTCTACGAGCCCACCTCCAATTGCGTGCTGTTCGTGAAGGGGCAGGCGGTGTTCTCACTGGACAGCAACGACGTTGTGGATCTGGTCGCAGGCAACATGTAAGCGCGTGGTTTTGTGGACAGGCAGCCGTGGATACCTGCTGGTCCTGGTCACTGGGGGAACCTGCAGCGGGCAGAGCGGGCTTACGTTTGCATGGCGATGGCAATGGTGGAGACCAAGTAAAGCTGCTGGTGGATGTGGCACCATGTCGGTGCCACATCACTGATCACAGCCCAGTTTGTCATCTTCCCCTCAGCAATTTCCGCATGCTCACATGCCAGATCATCTATCTGTACACACACGCCCGTCAATTTCCAGATGATGCCGTGCTAACGAGGAATGCATTGTTATGTTATAATCCTCCGCTGCCTCTGCGTAGATACACGCCGGATGAGATCGTTTGCAGTAGTAATGGGTACCGGGGGGAGGCATGGTTTTCGGCCATCACCGCCCTGGCACCCGACGGCAAGGGCAGTGTGTACGTCGCGGAAGCCGAGCAAATCCGCAAAGTGGACATCCTAAGCGGCCAGGTGACAACCCTGCCCGGCTCCGTGCCGCGAACTGGCTCGTGGACTGGGCTGTCCTATGATGATGATGATGATGTGCTGTTTGCCACGACGGCCAGGGCGATCTGCCGCATTGATGTGATCACCTTGACTACAACTGCTGCCTCGGCGCATGTGTCTGGCGCCAATGGAGGAGAGCGCACCACCCCAATGGACACAGCTGTCAGTGAGCTTGAAGCGAATGTGAACCTTGTAGCTGGCGACTGGCAGGCGGCCGGCAACACGGATGGTCCCGGAACTAAAGCACGCTTTACCCACATCACTGCCATCCTGGCTGGCGTACATCGGCAGCTGTACATACTAGATCATGACAAGTTCCGCATCATGAGTGTTAATGGCTACGTCAATACGGCACTTACTGGGCTCACAATATACCAGTGCTCTATTGCTGCCTTGCCCAGTGGCGAGCTGGCTGTGGGCATTAAGGACCCCCGCGACTCCCCACTAAGGATTGTCCGAGGGCCCCAGCTGGGGCCCAGCAGCCCCACGTCAGGCGGCATCAAGGCTAGCCACTCTGTGCCTACGCAAAGGCCGTCTGCTGCCCTCTCGAAGCTGCACCGGACACTCCTGCTGTGTGCAGCAGGGGCGGATGAAAACCCAGCCACCGTCAATATACATACACGTGATGGCACTGTCTTCGTGGCACATCGTTCGGCCCTTGTGAGTCACAGTCAGTACTTCGAGAAGCTGCTGGTGCCGGGAGGCGGCTTCGCAGACAGTGGTGCTGAGGATGTTAAGTTGCCCGATGCCGACCCGGCTGCATTCCAGTGGCTGCTGGCCTACATGTACACGGGGGAGCTGTACATGCCAGACGAGCTGCTGCGGCCTGCCGTACTTCTCGCGGATCGGCTTTTGATGCCACAAGATTGCGTGGGGCAGCTGCAGAAGTGGCTGCTGGCGAAGGTGACCCCCCAGTCGGTGCTTTCGGATCTTCTCTGGGCGGAGCAGCACGGCATGACTTCATTGGTGCCACAGCTCAAGCTGCGGCTGCTGCGGCAGAGGAAGAGCGTGGTGTTGGGGGAAGAAGATCTGCGACAGCTGATAGTCCGCCGTCCATGCCTAGCGGCTGACCTGATTCGGGAGCTGGTTGTGATGCCCTGACATGCTGTGGCATGATGGACAGCGAGGTAGGATTAGCCGGCACAGCATCCTCATACCATAAGATCTCACAGGCTCATATACAGCATGCTATGAGGACTTCTGCTTGGTGTGTGTGTGTGTGTGTGTGTGTGTGTGTGTGTGTGTGTGTGTGTGTGTGTGTCTGGGAAGGTGAGCACCGGGTGAGGCGAACGGCTCCAAACGACCACGAATTCCTGTGTGCTAAGCTCTGCTGTTACTTAATTAAGCCACGTTGAAGGTAAGGGTTAGCATTAGCAAGCAAGCACTGGTATGGTTATCAGTGGTATGGTCCATGTCGCTCGTGGTTGTTGCGACCCAATGACCAACAGCAGGCGCGGTGCGAACTCCGATGCTGTGATGGGCTATGGGGCTCGCTCACTTCCCATTCCACATGGTCAATAACCTCCATAGGATTGCGCCATCTGGACATACTCGCCAGCTAGCTGTAATGGCTGTGTAATCTGAATCAATCATCACGGGAGCAGCTCCGCAAGGGCAATACATACACGGGGCTGGGATTTGCAAACCCCTCCCGTGTGGGTAATAAATGTAAGTATATTGCAAACATGCGACATCACCCTGGGACAGGCTGCTGGGGGATGTATGGTGAATGTGTGTGGGGCAATACGGGCTCCGATAGGTGCAGCGACTAGCGACATCAGGTGCTGATGCATATTCAGCTTAGGTTACGTGGCAGCAGGTTGCATAGGTGCACAGTGTTGGAAACCATTTTTCCTGCAGACGGAAGAAATGGCCAATGCCTGACACCCTAAGAAAGAATGTTCCCTGCGTTATCTTCATCAAAAAGGTCTACTGCTTCCCCGCCAATCTGGAACGTACCAGGGAAATTCCGAGAGGTCCAACATTACAGATACCATCGAAGAGCTGAGGAAAGCATATTCCGCTGCAGCTTAACGACGCATCTTGACTACACGAACGCTGAGAAATGAAATAAACAAAAGCCTTCTTCCAGCACCTGAAGGGACACAGACGCAACTCATGCCGTTTAACACCTACTCTACCCTCGTTGGCTTCGAGCAAAGATGCTATGTTGCACGCTCACCTATTGAGAAGCCACTAACCGAGGGACCGAATCCGAATTGCGACAGCCGAGTATGTTTTCAACCCTCCAGAGCAGCGGTCATGCTGTCTACAACCGCGTAAGGGGCCATGTCCGCCTCTTCCACACACTCATGCGCGCACGGCTCACCATGCACGCAGCACAGCACGCGGCTGATGTCCGCTCCCGTAATATACAACTCACCTCCCGCAACCGAAATGAAGAATTGATCAAATCAGCAGAAGACTTTCGACGTGAAACGAAACGAGTTCGAGCGAGGAATGTACCTGCCAGCCCGAGCCGCTCCCTAGTTCTCTTAAACCCGCTAGGGTCCCTCTTCCCATCACCTGTGTTGCTTCTCCACCATAGCCGGCAATCCAGCCTCTTGCAAAACAACCTAACAATCTACTAAATGAACTAGTCCAGCGCGACCGGAGGTTCGATTCTTTATGTCGTCCGATTGTGTCTGATATGCCAGCAATGCAATCATTCCTCGCGTCGGCAACGGCCCACAGCGCAACGCCAGACGACCATTCGTCAACCTAGCAAGCAAACGGCATTCCAGATGCTTCCATGCAGCAACGCACCGTAGGACAGGGCATACATGCGCTGCGCGCACCGGGAGCAGCGAGGCCCTCTTATTGTGCCTTCCCGTCAACAACGGCCCCAGCCCCTGACAACTCCCATTGACCGGTGCCATTGCGACTGACCGACCGACCGATCGACCATGGGCAACTGGGAACATACAACTCCAGCAACGCTCTCCTCGACAATCCACACAGCGCCGCACTTTATCCCTCACACTACTACTGCAACACTCGTCGACTGCTTGTGCCGACTCCTGGTGGAGCGGCCAAGAACTCAAAACACTCTGGTTCTTCGTTACACACCACCAACAACGCAAACAACAGGGGTTCCAACTATTGCAAACCTGACCGGGCCTCACGACATCCAGAACCGTGGGACCATCGGCTCCTATTGAACGCGTTACAGCAATGCACTTGCATGCATGATACAATATAATCACGTATACTTTTAAGAGTCAATACGCTCAACCGCACGCGCATGAGCCTGCAACTTGCTGCTCTTACTTCCCAATAAAAACCAGAGCGAACAGCTTTGCGTTCAAAGTATCGTCCTACACTCAGGCGTTTACCATGGCGCTGGAGCGTGCCAGCGCGCTCAGCTGCTCGCGAAGGTTTTTCAATTTCTCCGGATCAAGCGAAGCGCTGAATGGCTTCTGCAGCTCCCCGTCCCGAGCACACTGAAAAAAGGGAACCTACAAGCAGGGTCAACGTGATGAGGGGCTGCTCAGTAGCTGGTAAAGTGGAAAGAGCCAAGGAGCAACGCTTGCGTCCGACAGCGTTGCACCAGCTGTGAAGAATTTAAGCAACCAGGAAACGAGAATACAAACATAGGCGGCACAGCGTTCGTATTGCTTCCGGTAAACCCAACATCCGTCTAATGTGTGTGCGACAGGTCCGCAGAAACGCTTCCGAGCGGACCTTAGTGATGCCCCGCTCCGCGAAAACAGGGCGCAAAGCTTCATTGCTTCCGTTCACTTTGAGGAAAAGAACCTCTGGGTGGTCTTCGGCCAACTGCTTCAGCTTCTTGTGCAGGCAACGACACGCATAACAATCCTCCTGGAAATAGTTGATGAGGACGCCGCGTCCAGCAGCATAAGCCTGCCGCGAGAGCATGTCAAGCTCTCTGGGTGTTGTCACCGCGACCATATTGGCGGGCAGACTCCCCTCCCACCTGCAGACGCATGCACATTCGACAGCTTGCGAGCAGCAATAAGGAAAAACCAAGGCCCCAACGATAGCTAATTATGCAAATTGAGCTTCAGTGAACATTCAGGCCGAACCCTAATTGTCCGCAACATAGGCGAAATAAACTGAATAATGTTGGAGAAGAAGCGCAAGTCCAACGTGGCACTTTGACCCATCTCCCTCACCATTTCAACCCCATAGCTTGAAGCATCTGAGCCTCTGAATGCTCGCGGCTACGTTGTTGGCGCCTACGATAGCGGAAAGGGTGGGGGTCGAAGCGCCCCAATTCGCTTGATTGAAAAGAGGGGCTTGCCCTGATCCTCCCATTGACTTGACAACCTTACATTGCCTCCGCCTCCTGTCGTCTCCTTACAGCATCAGGGTGTGGGCAATAACTAACGCTTGCCAGGGTTCGTGCTGCGGTTCTGCCCGGCCGCGCCCAATACGAGGAAGCCTTCGCCTGCTTGGTGTTGACAGACGAAGACGCCATAATTGGAGCAATTTAGCCTGACGGTAAGGAGAGCGACGCAAGAAGCGGCCTGGCGCGGAGAACGCTGGTCACGTTTGTGAGCTAGCCCGTATGTTCCCCAACCAGGTTAAGCATGCCGAGTCCTGCTTATTAAATCCCTAACCTATGAGCAGTTAAGCTTGCGCATGGCGAATTAGAGTGCTAGCGCATTGTATGTAAATAGTACGGCGGTCCGCGTTTTACCTACATCAGATCCATAGGTCCAAAGCATTGTTCGTTGGAGTGCCTTGCTACCATTCTTTGTGTGCCTTACGGCTGGCACTCCTGCGAGGGAATAGTGTACTTGGATACATCTTTGGCACTTTCCAAATAACACATAATTACCAAAGAGTGTTCGTCGTTAACTTTTTATCATATAATTACCTTCAGGTTTTACACCGTGTTAGGCGGTAAGGCGCATTACAACGTTTCCCGGGGTTGCGGCCTAAGGTGTGGCCCTAACAGGACGTCCTCAGAAATATAATGAAACAGACAACAGGAATCTGTGCTGGTTCTGAGCGACGGAGGCTTCTCCCTCGCCACGCAAAGGGCGTCTGGTCGCGCTCATCAGTCACCCGCTGCCGTGCTTTCCCTGATGCCGAGGACGTCGCCAAGGCAGTTAGCAGGTGCGTTTTTACTCGGGTGGTGGACATCTAACTACAGGCGCTTTTACATTGCGTTCCTCGCTGCTCGTTTACGAGTCTGTGTGGCGCAGCGCGCAGCAAACGGACACCACAGCTGCACCTTATCCAAATGCCCCCCAACCAGCTCCTATCTACCTATGTCCAGCACCTTGCCCTTCAAACGGTAATTGGGAACACTGCCCTCGTAACATTTTCGCACTCTTCTGCAGCCTTCCCCTGCCTCCCCGCGTGTCGGAGCTGCTAACGGACTCGGATGCTTGGTCCGGCCTAGAGCCCCACTTCGGCTCCCGCGCCCTAGCAGGGGCCGTGAGCTCCCTCGCCGCACGGGCGCCCCACGTCTCCTTGCCCTCCCCACCTTCCCTGGAGCTGTCCACCGCAGGTGAGCACGGGATGTGGCCAGGGAAAAGTGGTGACTGGCCTAAGGGATAGGCAGAGGACGGTTGCGGGGGCGGGGGGCCGGAGGGAAGGGCCGGCCGCGGGAGGCCGGTGATCCCCAAGGGGTGGTTAAGAGCGACGGAGAGTCAGAAAGCCACGGTGCAAACTTTTGCGTAGGTTGTGCCTCGTTTAGGCTCCAGGGGGACAGGAATGGCTGGTGATTGCGCGTCTTTATGCGGTGCGACAAGCTAAGATTTCGCACATCGCGATGTACCGCTCATGTCCTTCTCCTTTTCCTCCCCCCCTCGTCGTCCTTTAATGTCGTCGCGTCCATCCACGTGTGGCCTGCTTCCGGATTCTAACGAATTCCCGGCATCGTACCTATCCCGCCTCGACGCGGCATCCCTCGCCTGGGCCCTACGTTGCCAGCTGCCTCTTGACCCGCCACCGACCCCTCCCACGCTACCCGCTTTCCCCCGTATACACACACATGCACACATGCACCGTCACCACCACGGCCAGTCAACAACGCCCTTAAGCCGTTCCGCGGTGCCGCTGCGGGCCTGTCTGCTACCGCTCAGTACAACTTGAGGCTCGACCTCCTTCCATCCTCACCTGAAATCGCCGCGGCTTCTACCACCGGCGGCGACAGCGGCGGCTATGCCATCAGTGGCCTGGAGGCCCTGAGCCACACCTTCTCACAGGGCTTCGAAGCCGCGTCCGCTGCCGCCGGCGTGGGCGCTTCCCAGGCCACCGCAGCCCTTGCGGCCAGTGGCGATTTGGGTCGGGGGCTGGCGGCCGCAGCGGAGGCACTGGCGGCCGTCGCAGCTACAGCCACCGCAGCCGCGGGCAGTGGAGGGTCAGAGCTGCAGCCGCATTTCGGCACTGCGACGGTGGTGCGCGGTGTGGAGGCCCTGGCTAGCTGGGTGGGCAGTCGCTTTGACGGTCTTGAGCTGCTGGATCCCATCACGGCGGCGTCGCTGACGTCAGCGCTGTCGGAGCTTCGCGGGGTGGCGGGGGTGATGACGTTGCCGCCGGCGTTGGGAGGTGGGGCAGGGTGGGGTGGGGTGGGGGGCCGGGTTTTTTATGAGGAACACCAAGCCCTGGCCATAGGGTCACAAGGTGTTGCTGGATGAGGCAGGGTTGAGCAGGGGCCGGGTTATCTGTGTGCGCGTGTAGCCACTTGGGATTGGTTCAGGCTGATCCAGACAGGTTCAGGAACGTAGGCCATGCGTTTATGTGATTGACAGGAGTGGGACTCAACAACCTGTCCTTGATCTGCGAGCTGATGTGGAACATATGGACGGCGAAGAGGGGTAGAGTGTAGTCCCTCCCTGCTTCTATGCACCTCACTAACTCTCCAACCCTAACCCCCACCCCGCATGCCTCCCCTTCCTGCCCTCGCTGGCCCCCACCCCACCCCAGCCGCCGGATCGTCCACCCTCCAGCAGCTGGGCGCCACCGCCAGCGCCCTGGCTGCAGGACTAGGTAGCTTGCTGGACCGAGGGGGAGAGGCGGCGCTGGCGGCGGCCGCGGCTCCTGACGCCCTGCTGGGGTCTCTGACCACCATCTACCAGCAGGCCCAGGAGGGCGGTGTGGGCGGTCACTCTCTGCCCACTGTGGCCCTGGCTGCGACCATGACCTTGCTGGCGGTGGCGGCATCCACACCGGATGAGACTTATACAGGTAGGTGTTTTGAGGGGTTGTGGTAACGGGGACAGGGGGGAGATGCATGTGATGAAAGAAGTAACGGAGGTTCAGCTGCCAACGTGTAAAGCACCAAAGTGCCGGGAGGGGGGGAAAGGACCGGAGGGAGGACCGGATGCATCCCATGAGGGAATACGTTCCAAGGTGCTGAAGGAGGGAGAGAGGGAGGGGGAGGGAGGGAGGGCTGACAAGCCAGAGGGGATCTGGAAGACTGGCTGTCTAGGGCATTGGAAGCTCCCCCCTGCGCGGCATGTCCCGGGTGTCGTGCGATTCCCATGGGGGTGAGGGATGGAGGGGGGAAACGGGATTTAGGGGTCCATAGGTCGGGACCCGCGTGGGCGGGTGGGGCGATGGAAATTGGGGAGAGCGGGGGAGCAGATGAGGTACCGGAGGAAGAGGCAAATGCTCTGTCACAACGCCTCTCCCCGGATGAAGATATCGGTATGGGTTTCTCACCCGCCGCACGTCCCCTACATCCTTTGAAAACCGCGCCCCGGCCGCCAGGTCCCGAGTACCCGTACGAGGCTGCCGCTGGCGGCGGTGGCAGCGATGAGCTGACACACGAGTACGACCCAGAGGCGGTGGCGGCGTACTTCTCCCGTCGGCCGCTGGCGGTTGTTCGCCGCAGTGCGCAGGTGGCGGCTGAGGCCGCGTCCTTTGGTGCCGCCCTGCTGGTGGACCTGTGGACCGGGCGGCTGGAGGTCAACGAGCGGCGGCGGGCGGAGCAGCTGCGGGGGGTGGTGGAGCGGCTGGGGCCGGCGTGAGTGTGGGGGCATGGGGCGGGGATGGTGTGTGTGTTTTATTCATCTGCGCCGCGATACGGGAACAAGCCGAAGTGGGTGCACGAATAACTGGTGGGCATGTGTGGGGTTGGGAGTGGGCTGGGTGGGTGGGTGGAGTGGCGGCCTAGGGGGGACAGGGGAAGGGAAGAGGGAGGGGGAAAGGGCTTATCCTTAGTGGTGAGGGGAGAGGGAGAACAATGTCTTGGAGTTTTGAGGCACAGGGTCGAAAGTCCGGGGTTGCAGCGATCTGTGGGATGTGGGGCTTGATTGTCGGTGGCTTTATAAGGTGCGTTTTGAAGCGGAGCAATAGCAGCAGCAGCAGCAGCAGTGAGTTGCGATTGATAGCGAACCGAGGGGGTTTGGGCGGTGCTTCTACTGCTGTCAGGGAAAGAGGGAGTGAGGGGAAATTGTAAGGCAGATATAAATAGGACGAGCGGACGCAGAAAGGTCGGGCATCGTGAGGCTGGCTGCAGACGGCCGCTCGGCAAGCGGGGGAAGCAGCTATGTGGGTGTGCGGTTCTGCGGCCTCTGCCCATATATCACCGTCCTTCCCCCGCGCAGATGCTTCTCCCTTTTATTCCCTCCTCACCCTTCCTCCCGGCCCCCCTGCACTCATCCATTCATTTATCCCTCCTTCCTGTTTCTGGGCTTCCCGTCCTCTTTTCCCTTTTCCCCATTCGGGCTCCCTTTTGGACTTCCCAACCATTGATGCTGTGGACGTGTCGGCCGCTTTTTCCTTCACGTTTGCGTCACCACGCCATTCCCCCCTCTCCCTCCCTCACCATACCCTCCCTCCCCCCGCGAGGACTCCTGTACACAAGTCGCGACTGTTTAGGTACTTCTTAGGTACTCCTGGCGTATCAGTCTATATCTTTGGCATCAGCTTCACTCGCTCGTGGGGTTCGTCTTCGTCCCCCTTCCCCTCAACTACCTCGCATATAATTCCCCCCCTTCCCCTCACCCTCCCTCCCTCACCCCATTTCCCTTACCTTCCTCCCCCCTTTCCCCCCCCCCCCCCCCCCGAGGTCGCCGCCTTCAAGAACGCCTTTTGGTCAGTTCTATCTCTGGTACACTCTTGCCCTGGTAGCAGCTTCACTCGTTTGTGGTTCGTCTTTCCTCCCCCCCTTCCCCCTGCAGTTATGTCAAGGTGGCTCAGGCCCTGTCCACCCGCGTGGACCTGCTCACCCCCGCGTACTTCGAGCAGGTGCAGATGCTGCAGGACAGGGTGCCGCCGTTCCCATGCGAGGTGGCGCGGAAGGAGATGGAGAAGGTGGGAGCGGGGGAGTTGAGGGGGGGGGCCTGGATTGGGCTGCTGCTCCAGGGAGGACCTACGTGGATTGTAGGACCAACCCACCAAGCCCGTTTACCGTTCCCTGCCCTGCTTAAGCTGCACGGCTGGCGTTCGATATCTCGCCCTCCACCCCAGCCCCCGCCCTGCATGTCCCCCGTCTGAGGAATCCTTACCTAACCCCCCCATCCTGCTCTACGTGTTTTGCCCTTCTCCCCTCCATCTACAATTTCGCTGAGCGCATTTATCCTTCCTCCACTCCTACCCCTCCTCCCCCCTCCTCCATCCGCTGCACCCCCGGCCCCAAAGGCCTTCGGTGGTCGCCCCGTGGAGGCCGTGTTCTCCCAGCTGAGTGAGCGGCCCGTGGCAGCTGCCTCCCTGGGCCAGGTGTACCGGGGGACGCTGAGGCCCGAGCTGGGAGGCGGGGACGTGGCGGTCAAGGTGCAGCGACCAGGGGTGCTGGAGCAGGTGGGGAGGTGGACGGGGCTGGGGGGAGGGAGGATGATGAAGGGGAGGGTAATGGGCGGGGAGGGGAGGGGGGAGGAAGGGCACTTAAGGGGCGGTAGCTAAGAAGGGGGGCCCCCGCTATGGAGAGAGCCATGGCCGTATTGTGGCGGCGCTGTGCACCGCTAGGCCGGAGAGGAGGCGGGAGAGGGGGCGAGGAAGAGGGGGAGTGCGTGCTGGGGAGGAGAAACGGGTAGCAGGGGTACGTAAGGGAAACCGGATCTGGCGCGGGGTTCCGGAACGCCAAGACAGACAGAGGGACGGACAGACGGACAGACCGATAGATTGACCCGGATGGACGGAAGGGGTATGGATGGGAGGCATCAGTCTGAGGGTGATCATGCGATCGTGCCAGCTGTGGGAGGGCATGGGACTGGTGGTGGGGTTATCACCCAAGGCAGTAGCAGGTGGCGAAGAAAGTGGGATGGAGGAGGAGGGGGGCCAGTGCAGAGATCGCTGCCTGTGCAGGAGCATTTGGAAGAGGTTCCGGGACGGATCGTGTCCTCCGTCTGTGTGTGTGTACATGTGTGTACATGTGTGGTGGGAGGGAAATAGGGTGATGTGTGTATGTGTATGTGTGTGTGTTAGGGCGGGGGGTAAATGTAGATGTTGAATGCAAGTAGTGGGGACCGGTTGACGGGTTCATATCCCATCCTGTCGCGGGGTGCAGCAGCCCCCTGCTTTCCCCCAACTTAGGCCGTCCGCCTCTTGATTCGAACTCCCCGGGCTCCCGGTTGGTTGCCCCTCCCTCCAGGTGGCTCTAGATCTGCTCATCATGCGGAGACTTGCCATACAGATGAAGGAAAAGCTCCAGGTAGGGTTGTGTGTGTCTACCTGGCTTGATGGTTGTGCTTTAGACTTTCGGTAACATCACGTGATGAAGATGTTGTGGCTGTTTATCGTTACTTATCTTGCTATAAGACCAGGCCCTTGTGGGACTTATCTGGGGTTTGTGAGTACTAAGATGCGGCGGAGTCGGACGTACTTTGTGCGGGGTCCTAGGGCGGGTAAAGGCACCTAAGCGGACAGGGGCCCCAGCGGATACACAGGAGGGAGGAAGGTAGGGGGGGCTATAAAATGCAAACATTCGAAAAAAGATAACGTAAGGGCGGAAGGGGGATATGGCAGTCTGGGCTCTGTCCTCGCCCGAATGCGGCTTGAAGAGATGGTATGAGGCGGAGATGCAAAGAGACGGTGGTAAGGGGTGGTGAAGGTGCGCTGAACGGCCAAGGGTGACAATCGCGGGCGTGTTCGGGTAGCACCCCCCGCGCCCCCTCCGTACCGGAACTCCGCCTCTCAACCACCTTTTCCCCTCCTTTTCCCCCCTTAAACCCCCTCCGCCTCTCTTTCCCCCGCACTCCTTCCCTAACCCTCAGATGAACACCGACTGGGCGGGTGTGATTGACGCCTGGGCGGTCCGTTTCTTCCACGAACTGGACTACCGGCGGGAGGCCGCCAACGCTGCGCTGTTCCGGCAGCAGATGGCGGCAGCCGGCGTGGAGGGGGTCGTGGTGGCGGCGGTGCGCAGCGACCTGTCCACCGACTACGTGCTCACGACGGACTGGGTGGAGGGTAGGCTTGCGGGTGCAGGGGGGGTGAGAGGGTGTCTGCGAATTACTTGGGGTTTAGCGACCGGCCGTGTGTGCGGACACGGAGGAGTGGTGTCATTATCCTGTGTCTAATGGTGGTGGTGGTCCGGGTGTCTGGGTAGTTTCCTTCCTATCTGTCTCTGTCTGTCTGTCTGTCTCTCTGTCTGTCTGTCTGTCTGTCTGTCTCGGTCCGTGCGCCTGTCTGTCATCCCTGCCTGTCGGTCTGATTCTCCGCCGGTCAGCTTGCTGCACGAAGTCGCCCCCTCTCCAATCCTCCCGATAACCCCCAACCCCCTCAACCCCCTCACCGCCCCGAAGGTGAAAAGCTGAGTGAGAGCAACGCCGCCGACGTCCGGGAGCTGTGCAACACGCTGTTGAACGCCTACCTGATTCAGCTGCTGGACACGGGCTTCCTGCACGCCGACCCGCACCCGGGGAACCTCATTCGCACGCCGGAGGGCAGGTGCGGGAGAGGGGAACACTGGGTGGGGGGTTCAGTGGGGGCCCTGGGCAGTAGGTGGCGGGTGAGGTGGGTAGGTGGGTTGGGAGATGGCAGGGTTGGTTTGGGACGAAGGAAGTGAGTGGGGTGAGCCGGAGGTGCACAAGAGGCCGGTGGTGGGGCGAATGGGCGGGGCGAGACACGAGGTGTGTGTGTGGGGGGGGGGGGTTTTGGTCCGGGGAGGCCGTGCGTTCTGGTGTTTGTAGGGTTGGCCGGATGTTTAGATTTAGAAAATAATTTAGATGCCATCTAATTAGATTTCTATATAGATTTTAGATGAGGCCATCTAAACCGTTTAGGTGGGCATCTAAACGTATCTAGTCCATCTAATGCCTATCTAAAGGCCGGTGACCGGATCCAGACCGTTTAAACGTGAGTCATGGCACGCGAAACAGCTATGTTGAAGGTAAGTTTAGTGTCATATCCTTGCTCCGCTCTATTACATACACAAATAGACGTAAAAATACACAATGGCAGAACCAGGACCCCAAAAGCCGATCACATACAAATACAACCACCAGACTTTCGACGCGCCACAGTACGCAGCTAAGCTCTGCGAAGCCAAGCGCAGCATCAAAGCCGCAGCGTACTGGTCCATCTTCGACGTGTTGCTCGTAAAAGGCGTTGTGAACCTCGTCTGCACCGTTTGCAACAAGTCCTATAGCGCGAAGAACCCGTCAGCTGTCTGCCCGGATCACTATGCGAAGCACCAGAAGGACGTCGAAGGACTGATCGAGCACCCCGACCTCGTGAAGGCTGATGAAGGCTGAATGAGGGCTGTTGTCGTCTAATGCCGTGATGTTTCTGTCGTTTGCGTGGTGCGGCCGGTGGGCAAGGACAACTGACTGCGTGACGGGTGTGTGGAGGTGAAATCCCGTTGTCGCCAGTCGAACAGGCCGGCAGAACAGAGCCCGACAGCTTTGCATCCCAATGCGGGCGTGTCCCGCATGTTGGCATGTGTACTTTGGTGGTTCCGTTTGCGGTTGGGCCGACGGTTGGGCCGCGGGGCGCCTAATTACACCCCGTGGCGCCATCCGACACGCGTCTGTAGAGCGCCCATAGGGGTTCGCCGTGTTCCCAGTGTCGAGCGGCCCAAAAAATTATTGGAAAATCCAGGAAAAGATAAAGCCGCATCGTGTGCAAAATTTCAGGTCAAAATTCCACCGTTTAGGCAGTTTTCCGTTTGGCCATCTAAAGATTTACCTAATTAGATTAGGTATCTAATTAGATTTCTAATTAGATACTTTTTCCATCTAAAGATTTTGCCAACCCTAGGTGTTTGTGTGCCTGCCGGAGGCTCCACCTCCCGCACCGGTGCTTCTCTCCCCGCTTAACGCCCTCCTCCACCCGCGTCCAAGCAGGATTTGCGTGTTGGACTTTGGTTTGATGACTGAGGTGACCCCGGAGCAGCGGCTGGCCCTGGTGGAGTACATTGCGCACCTGTCCACGCAGGTAGGTACCTCTTTGGCTGTTTTGGGGGGGGGGGGAGGGAAGTGAAAGCGAGGGGGGGTTACAGCGGGGGAAAGAGAGAGGTGAAGGTGTGCCCCCGTGCTTTCTTTCCTTTCTCCTCCTTCCAGGTGTCTTCCTCTCACCTTTCTGTGCTGGCATCCAGCAAAAGTAAAATCTGTTTCCCCATCATTCCCCGCCGGGCGCCCCCTCCGGTCCCCCCTTCTTCCCCGCGCTCAGGACTGGGAGAAGCTGGCCGTGGACCTCCAGACTCTGGGTTTCATCCCCCCCTCGGTGGACCCCCGGGAGGCGGGGCTTGTGGAGCCGCTAGGCCGGGTGATGAGCCAGCTGGTGGGGGGAGGCGGCGCGGCCAAGGTCAACATTGACAAGGTCCGGCCGGGCGGGAGAGGAGGGAGGTGGCGGGGGGGACAGTGGAGGGTGTTTTGAGGGGGAGAGGAGGCAGATGGGGAGGGAGAGAGAAAGAGAAAACTTTGTTCGCTCATGTTTGGGGAGGGGGGAGGAGGGGAAAGCCTTTTTTGTGTTTTGCGTATGATCCACAGCCCCCTCTCCCCAACTTTGGTTTTCTTTGTACAGTTCCCTCCTCCCACCGCACAGCGTTAGGTTAGGCACAGCATCTCGGCTGGTTGCCAGCTCGTTGTGGTCGTGTTTTATTAGGTGCCTGCCTCTCCCCGCGCATGGGGCGGCCTGCGTCGGTCCTGCAATACCTAACCCCCCAGGTACGATGTACACACAACCTCCGTCTTGCTTGTGTGTGTTCCACGCAGGTCACGGGGGACCTGGAGGAGCTCGGAAATCAGTACCCAATACAGGTATAGACACGGGGAGTAAGGCATCGTACTGTACGGCGCATCTATCGTACTAAGATGTGCGATGTTTTTGTGTATGATGCCATCACTGCGAGTGTTGGGATCGTTACCAAATGTTGCTATATGTTGTCGTGTCGCCATCAAACACCATCCACCCTGTGTACACACACACACACACACACACACACGCACACGCACACAGACAGGCACACACACACACACGCTCCCTGCACCCCGCCTACCTGCCTACATGCTGGCTGCTGCTGCTCCTTCCTCGCAGGTGCCGCCCTTCTTTGCTCTCATCCTTCGGGCATTCAGCGTTATCGAGGTGGGTGGCTGGATGGCTGGGTGGCTGGGTAGGCCACTTGGTACGGGGAGGAGGGACCAGGGATACGCGGCCGGGTTGCGGGGGGCCGGGGGCTGCGCTGCCACCGCCAAACGTCACCAGCTGTTGTCCGTGTTAGCTCTGGACCCAGTCGTCTTCGCTCCCACGTGACAAACCCCCGCGTAATGAAAACTGATAAACCCCACCGAGAAGACCTCCCCTTCCACCACCACCACCACCGGCACCAGCACCACCACAGGCAGTTGATTCCTCGTACATGTCGCGCATCAAATCCCCATCACGCCCCTGACCCACGCATCCGTTCAGGGTATCGCCCTCCGAGTGGATCCCAACTACGCCATCGTGGCCGAGTGCTTCCCCTACTTGGCCCGCCGCCTGCTCAACGACGACTCCCCGCGCATGCGTGCCGTACTCCGCGACATACTGTACGGCGGCAAGCAGCACATGGATGTGGAACGTCTCATCCGGGTCGCGGACGGCCTCTCCGCCTTCACCACGGACGGATTGGCCGTGACGGCCGGGCCGGCGGCGGCGGCGGCCGCTGCTGGCAGCGGTGTTGGCGGCGGCGGCACGGCGACGGCGACGGCTGCTGCCGGCGGTGTAGCCCCGCGGCCTGCAACGGCGATGGCGGTCGCGACTACGGCAGATGAGGTGCGTGTATTCGCGGCCCGGCTTTGCACATTACTGCGGTGGCCTGGGTCGTCTCGCTTTCTGTCTATCCTGTGATGTAGCTGTAGCTTTTGTCGGGTTGTGGTTGCTGGGACAGCGATTTCGTAACGGCCACGCGGCTACCCTGGCCCCTCCCTTGCCCCGATCTCAGTCCCCTTTCCCTCCCCCCCCCCTTAGACTCCTCCCCGCCGGCCTTCTCTTCCCCTCACCTCGTTAACCCTATCAACGCCCTATCCCCCACCCCGCTTTTCCTCCAGGTGGTCCTGAGCCCAGTTGTGGTTGAGACTCTTCGCTCCGTACTGCGACCTGGATCGTATATCAGCGAGCTGCTGGTGGAGGAACTGGTGGGTTTTGCTGTGTGGGTGGGGTGGGATGGGTTGTAGGGGCCAGAAGGGTGATGTGCGAGGACCAACCTGCCTTGAGCATCGTGGGATGCTCTTTACCTGTGGCAGCCTACACCTGTGGACGCGCTGCATTGCGTTTTAGATTGCAGTCCTAGAGGGAGGATGCTCCATACACACCTCCAGATGTGGCCCCCCGGACCCCGGGGCTCAATGCGCATGCGGGGCTGATGGCGTTGTTGCCTGTCCGTGCAAGTTGGCGAGTAGGGGAGGGGGAGGGGGTGTTCAAGGGGGGGGGCCGTTCCGCTCAACCTGGTTTCCACCGGCTCTCTGGGTGAGGGCTCTGGCGCCTCGGGGCATGTAGTACTGATGTGCCAAGCACACACCATTACCGCTACCACGACCCTCGCCGCCACAACCACCACCACCACAACCACCACCACAACCACCACCACCATTATGATTATCGTCGTCGTCGTCTTTTCCATTTTTACCAGTGCCAGTACCAGTACCAGCAGCAGCAGCAGTAAACAGCAGCAGCACGCGGGGCTGTTACGTTCATGCACATATGAGGTAATCCTCAGTACGCCCATAGCCGCCTTCGTGTCTCCCGTTCCCTTCCTGGACTTTACCCATTATTGCCCCTAGAAGAAAGCGCCCTTATGCACTCCTCCTTTGTGCGTCTGACCCTTACAGCCTATGCTTAAGCTTAACATGTGGATTTGGATGATAATTTAAATTTGAATGGTTTCTTGGATCTCATCTAGGTCGCTGCCGTGGACGCGCTATCTCGCGAGTCCCTCTCCCGGCTGGTGCGCGGGGTGCTGCTGTCCGCCCCCGCGGCCATGTCGCTGCGGGGCGTGGAGGCGCTGGGGCCCCTGCGCTCCGTGCTGCTGCCACTGCCCACGCCCGTGGAGGTGCTGGCCAGGTGCGGGGGCTGGCTCCCAACTATTTCCACATTTGTAAGACATAGCGGACGGAGGGATGCCTGTCTTGGCAGGCACGCACACACGTGCATTGGTATGTTTGGGCAGAGAGTGCACACGCGTGCCGTGATGGGCATGTGGTTATCGTCGTACCCGCGCCTGAAGCCGCATGTGAAACACCAGCCCGCATAACTCTTACTGTCCGCCTGGCCGTTTCATCGTGTTTATCTTTTCCTCCCTCCCCACCCGCCCTCACACTGCGCTCCCACCCGAACAGGATGGCCCCAGCAGTGGCCGTGACCCCCGAAGACCAGGAGGCGCTCGGCGTTGTGCGAGCCATCCTGATGCTCTCACAGCGTCTGGCACAGAGCGAGGCGGCGGCAGAACGAGCTCAGGCTCAGGCGGCGGCAGCAGCAGCCTCACGGATACCGCCGACGCAGCAGCAGCTGCAGCTGCAATCCTTGCCGCAACAGCAACAGCAGCAGCAGGCACTGCTGGCGCAGGTTCGGGCGCGGCGAGCTGCCCGACTGGCCAACGAGCTGAGTGCACTGCTGCCCGACTTGGCACCTGGACTGGCTTACAGCTCAGACCTTTTCGTGAGGGCGCTGGTACGGCGGGTTTCGGCGCGTGTGACGGATGCGGCGTGGCTGGCTACCGGCCGGCGTGCCGGCGTGCAGGACGCGGCGGCGACGGTGCCGGCGCCGGCGGCGCTGCCGCAGCCCGCCATTGCGATGCGGATGATGGCCGTCCCGGGTAGCGATGTTGGGGATCGTGTGCAGGGGCAGGCGGGGGCTGCACGCCGGCGGTGATGGTGCAGCAGCTCGTGTACTTGATGAGTATATACAGATATACTCTTTGAGTAGCAGCGGTTACGCAAGTTCCCTCCCACTCTGTGTCGAAGACATGATAGGTTTGTAGGGCAGACGTCTTCGGGGGTCGGTGAGGCGGTGCTGATGGGGGCCAGGCACACGGCGCATGGGCACATGAAGGCGGCACACGGAGGGATGGCCGGTGCAGCAGGGCACCGTGTGGCGGAGTAGTGGGTGGCAAGCCGGACGAACCCCACAGCTGCTTAGCACCACCCATCGCGCCAGGGAATGTGTGCCGCCAGGGATTGTGAATGCTTGTGAGCTCGGGCTCTCCACTACGGCTATTACGTGGCGATATGCGGCCGCAATGGGCTGGGCTGGACTGGGCTGGGCTGGACTGGGCTGGGCTGGGCTGGGCTGGGCTGTGTGCCAAATATCTGGAGGCACCGTGTTTATGCTTCGAAGCGATCGCAATTGCGACCCGTGGGCCGTTGTTTTAGAGGTCTCCGTCAGCCGGCAGGGAACGTATGAAGGTGCATTCGGAAAGAGCACGTGTGCATGCGATGGTAAGAAACAAGTTTGGAAAGTGACAAGCTGCCGTTCAGCAGTGAGCGGGTATGAGTATTTATAATCGTCGTTATGTTCTGCCTGAGCGAAATGAAGCACGCTCACATTATTAGAGCGCAGAGCGTGCGTTGCACGTATGTTTGTCTGCATGACTGTATTTGTGTTGAGAAAGGATGTGCATCTCAGCCTGAGTGTTTGTTATGTGCGTGTATGGGAGATGAGAAACACGTCCGATGTGTGATGCTGCATTGAGCATGAGCATCTGCCTGCCCCGAGGCGGCACAGTCACAACGCTGGCCTTAAGAAGGAAGGGATTGTTTGCGCACTCGAGGGTCGAAATAAGGCGGACGAGATACCGGGTGCATGCCGCATTGCGTGCTGTCGGCCGCACCTGCCATGTTGCAGCCGTGTCCAGGCATGTTAAATATGCCGGACAGTCGGGACGCAGGGCACGAGCTTGGTGGGGGGCATGTGCGGTGAGCGACACGTGCCGTCGCGGCGAATCTTGATTTTCGCTGACATCGGTGCAGGCAGCAGCAGCAGCAGCAGGGGCAGCGGCCGGGGCCAGAGGTTGGGTGGCTGCCGGGGCCACCTCACCCTGCCAGGGGGTCTGTCGGTGTGTGTGTTCCTCTCCTTACCGGCCTCATATGCTGCATTACGGTGCGATGCGGCGCATTACGAAAGCTGTGAATTCGTTTTTGAAGAGAAAGAGGAGCAGTGTTTTGAGTGCTGGTGCTGGCGCTGTTTTGCTGTGGAGGATGGGGAGGTTTTCTTTTGCGAGGGGGACGTGGGAGGAACAGCGCCATTCGCCATAGGAGCGCAGGCGAATTTCTTTTTGAGCACTGCCGCGCAGCCACTTTGACCGCCGAGTGGGCACCGAGTGAGCTGTAACACTAAAGTTGATGGTGCATCGAGAGGAGGAAAGTAGAGGAGAGGAGAGGCGCGGGCTTTTTGTTTTCTATGTTTTATCTTTTACCACCGCTAGGAGGGAGAGGGGACGGCAGGTAGCTGTAGGAGTGCTGAAGGCGTGTGTCTCATGGATGCTGGCTTTTGTGCAGTTCTGCGATCATGAAGCCTAGTTGGTAGCGAGGGAGAGCGACAGGCGAGGATGGCCATGCGATGTGGCAGCACCCATGTGCTGGTCGCTGTGTGCGTCTTCTTTCCGCGGCGCTTTTTGTATGTATTGCGTTTGTATTCTAACGGTTTCTAGGTTTCCCGTTCTGTTCTTAAACTTTGAGAGTTTTGCGGAGGGTGCGCATTCTTTGCTGAGGATTGCACGGATATCGACGCGGTTTGGGTTGTGACGTGAGGACGCTGTCGCCCGGTTTACCGACCTATCGAGGCTTTTGGTTGATGCGGTTTGGATTCAGGAGTGCAGGCCGTGAAGCTGTGTACTGTGCGCGTTTGTTTTCATCCGTTGGTACTCGGCCGTTGCAAGACGGGAAGAACCGGAGGGTTGCGGCTCTGTGGGTTAATTCCGGCGATGGCTGCCGTGTGGGTTTCTATTGAGTGGCGTGTGTGCTGTTGGTGCGATGATATACGACATGTTGGACGATTTGACGCCAAGTACGGTATATACGGCAATACTGTAATTTCATCACCTGCATGGATTCCGGAAGAATGGTTTGCAGGATGTACTCCCGGCCGCGGGGCGTTGCCTGGAAGCCTGGCGCAACCCAGGCACGGGGCCGAGACACAATCACGTGAGGAGATAATCGTTGCCTCCAACGTGAGCCGCAACACCACGGCGATACTGTTTGTTTGTGCAAGGCTCCACAAGCAATACCTTAAGGCTCTGACGTGGTAATTGCATGTTTGCTATGCAAGTAAGACTGTTAAAACTGCACACATATGAAGTAAGGTTACACGTAGCTGAATGGCGGTCCTGCTGTGACCTCTTACGGCAAAATACCATTCAAGAAGTAGAAATCGGGGCTCCATGCCTCTTGAACTGGATGCTGTGTTCGTTCTGTATTTTTGGGACTTGGTTGGACCCCCGGGACAGTCTTCGCGTCAGTCTTCAGAGGAATTTAGACGCCACAGCTTTAAGCTAACGCAACAAGGCCGCAAAGCTCCACAGAAGGCAAGCAGTTGTTTGGCAGGGGAGTGCGGGACTCTCCGCTCTCGTGATTATCCGCTGCCGTGATCGCCCCGCCAACGGCCCAACCGCGGAACCTCTATACGGTGTCGCTGTCTACTTATACGTACTAAGGTTTCTTGATTTTTGTGACTTTTAACCGTAGAATTGAACAGAGGAAAGTAGCTTTACGTCACGTCGAGCTTCCCATAACGAGGCCTTTATCTTACATCCACTGGTGCAGCTGAGGTGAACCGAATAGCTGCTTCAGGATAAGCTGGTACTTATTGTGCAATGTCCATTTTCAGTTACAATGGCTCTGCCATCGTGGCCATGGCTGGCAAGGTGCGACGCAGCCGCTAGCGTATTTACCGGAGCGTATCTTTCTATGCATGTGGAGGGGCAAAAGGATTGGACCTGACTTCATTGCAGGAATGCGTGGCTATCGGGTCAGATCTACGGTTTGGCGTTCAGTACCAAACCATTTCGTGCGATACGCCGAAAGTGTTTAAAATCCACGATAAACTCTACCTGGGGCTATCGGGTCTTCTGACGGACGCGCAAACTTTGCACCAAAAGCTTCTGTTCAGGTACGCGGGCTCAGGACAGGGTTAGTTCTCGTCCTTCTGCCAACGCCCCCCCTCTGCCAACAAGACTAGTAAAGCTTTTGTGGTTTGCAGGCACAACCTCTATAAACTGCGGGAGGAGCGTGACATGAAGCCGTCCACGTTTGGACACATGTTGTCCAACGCGCTGTACGAGCGCCGATTTGGGCCCTACTTTGCAGCGCCGGTTGTGGCAGGGTTGGAGCCTGATGGCACTCCCTATCTCTCTGGTATGGACACTATTGGCGCCATTGAAACTGCAAAGGATTTCATGATCGGGGGAACGTCGCCCGAGTCCTTGTACGGCATGTGCGAGTCCATGTGGCGGCCCGACATGGAGCCGGAGGAGCTCTTCGAGACGGTGGCGCAGTGCCTCATGTCGGGTTTCGACCGTGACGCATTGGCGGGGTGGGGTGCAGTCATTCACGTCATCACCAAGGATAAGGTTATCACCCGCACCCTGAAGACGCGGATGGATTAGGATGGAGGGGGCCCCGTGGAGGGGTGGGAGGAAGGGGAGCGGCTGCCGAGGAACTGGCACAGCTTGCATGGCCTGGGGACGCTGGCAGGCTGCTATAACTTTTGAACGCACGACGCGGCAGGGGCTTCACTGGCCCCTTGTCGCGTTACCGCATGGCCACTGAGGATGTCCTGACGTTGGCACCAAAATTGGCCTATGTGAGGCCGGACGCCACATTGCGTTGCAGCAGCAGCCGCATCTACCGTGTTGCGTTGCGAACTTTCACTGTCCGCAAGACAGCGTAGAAACTAGCTGGAGTAGGCATTTCGGGTGTACTTGGGTCGTATATCGCTTGTTTTATGTGGGAGGGAGGTGTGAAACTTGTGGGTATTGGGTGCTTACAGGGCGCATGGTGGGTTTTCAGGAGGGCAGTTCGTGCAGACTTTCGTGGGTTGGCTCTTTCGGGGCCGGCGGGAGAGCGCGTCGGTGACTTGTGCACCTTACTCTGCAGTTTGGGTTACCGTGCACATGACTGGCTCTTGAGGGCTGGGCCTAGGGTTCTGCAGCTGCGAAGGTCGGGAGGCGGAACCTCCGACTTGTCTACGAATTGCCGTGAGGATGGATGTGATGGATGTATTGCTGGGTTGGGCGGGTGGGGTGACGCCGCCTCCGGAGGTGCCGGGGGCTATGTGGGTGTCCGAAAGTGCTGCAATGGGGTATATGCCTGTTGAGGACCAGCAACGCCTGCACACGAGTGTCTTTCCGTGCAATTTCATCAAAGCAGAGCTGAGATGCCTAAATGGAGAAATATCCAACATAATGAATATATGTTGTATAGCTGCACGCTTGATGTATGAAGCAAACTTTGCCTGGTCTTTCCCATGCCTGAATTGCAGCGAAGAATTAACAACTCTTGGTAAAGAAGCGCACGAAGAAATGATATGCCATGCTAACATGCATTACATGCATGGCGCGTGAAAGGAGGTCGTGGTAATGGGACGCGTCCGTCCCGTGGCCTGAACCACCCGGCAGAAGACGGCCTCCTTCTCCAGTCCCGGTAGGGTAAATACACCGTAGGACTCCCTTCGCCCATCAATTTTGCATCCTCAGCCACAGTTCGCGGCCCTTCACGTTTTAAGTCATTGATAAGGGATACTCATCAAGGCTGGCGTTTCTCGCGCAATGCTTCTAGAGCAACCCCTAAATGCCAGTACATGAGCTGGGCTCCCAGGAGCCTGACCATGCCCCCGTCAATCAGAGCTTCCCGCAACGGCCGTTTCCGTTCCCCTCGTGTTTCGTCCCGCATGTATTCCACGTCAGTCCTTCGTCCACCCTCTGCCAGTCCGCCCTCAGCCACGTTTCCTGCTCTCAGCTCGACACTAGCTCAGTCTCGACCCTGTAATTTACACAGGAACACCTCTTCCCTGTCAGCTGCAAGCACCCCCACACACAACCAAGCCTGCCAGCGAACATCCAACACGCAAGCCCCGGTAACCCCACATCTGCCAGCGCTTGGCCGCTCCGTACAGTCATGCAAGCAACTGCCAGCCAGCAGGCCCGCCTCTCACGCTACGACGTGCGGATCCCGAACGCCGCTGCCAGTCGGTTACTTCGCTCTAGGTCACCGAGCCGAGCCATGACCCGCGCCAGCCGAGCCGCTAGCCCGGCGTCCCCACCCGACCCGCGCTGCTGCTCCACCGCCCGGCCCAACCATACCACGTGCTCTAACAGCACTGTCCCCTCCGGCAGCGGCCCCGTAGAGAACCAGTCGGAATGCAGTCCCGCCACCACCGCCTCCACAGCCGCCACCGCAAAGCCCAGCCCGCTGACCTCACCACCACCCGCCGCCGCGGCGGCACGCAGGTACGGCATCAGCTGCCCAGACACCAGCCGTCCCAGCGCCAGCCTCGTCAGCAGGCTCCGCGCCAGCAGTCCCTCGAATGAGCTGATGCTGTGCAGCAGCCGCAACGCTCCGCGAAAGCGCCGGAACAGCACTCGCGATGCCAGGGGGCAGCAGGCCAGCACGGCCGGCGGCCAGGGCGGCAGCGTGCAGGCCTCCACCGCGGCCTCCAGGGCGCCCCGGATGACACTGAGCAGCTCCACCATGCGCTCCTCCTCCGCAGGCACATACACAAGGAGCTCGGATGCCAGTGCCGCCACGGCCCGAGTGTGCGCACCGTTGACCACATCCCAGCATCTGAAGGACAAATTTGGAAAAAGATGGGGGGGCCGGAGGCAGCAGAGGGGAAATAAGCGTGAGGAAGACAATATACGGCAATAATTTGTTAACTACTCATTGAGAATCTACTAGGACGTGGCTGCACCGGAAAGCAGTTCAGTGGGGCACACCCCACCCAACACCCCAACACCACCGGATCAGCCGGGCCCCCCCCCACCTCTCTATCCAGTGCAACGCCAGCGGCAGCACCAGCTTGCGGACCAGCTGGGGAACAAGCTCCGAATCCGGATCGTCGTCAGACATGGCAGCGCCGTCGGCAGCATTCATGCCGTACTCGAACAGCTCGCCGTACCTGTGACACACGCGACGTGCATGTGCACGCGTGGGGAGGTGGGCTGGGTGTGAGAATCACCAAAGGAAAAGAGCACCGCATGCGGGTCGGGGTGCAGGGCAGGAGGGTAGGGTAAGGGGTGCGTCCACCCACAAAGGCTGCGAATGGATGCCCCGTACGACTTTCTTCAGCCCCAACGTACGGCGCAGATCTGCTCCCCTGACAGGGAGGTAAGGCAGTACCCCGTACAGGTTTTCAAACCCTCATGTCGCGATGCCCAACCGCGTCTTACCATTCCTGGGTGTCAAAACCCTGGTACGGCGCTCCTTCCGCCTTGCCGTACAACGGATCCCAGCGCAACAGCTCCAGCCGTACGTACGGCGCGAAGAGCGCCGGATTGGACAGGTGCATGTAGGCGTTGGTGTAGTCCTTGGGGTACCTGGCGGTGGCGGGGCCCGGTGGAGGAGGAGGTGGAGGTGTGTGATTTTCAGGACACCACCACGCACCCCCCCCCACCATCACCTGTACAGTACTTCAGAACAGACGACGACAACAACTACTACTACATGTGCGTCATGTGCGTGCAGATTCGGTCATTCGTTGTTCGTTGTTCATGCCATGCCGTTGTTCGGAAAAGCGGATAGCTGGTGAGGTGGGGTAACTCCTGTTCCCATTCCCCTATCCCCGCCGCCCCCCACCTGGCCTTCCACTCCTCCAGTCGCCGTTTGACCGCCCCAATGGAGGCGAACTCCTCGTCAGCATCCGCGAACACGGTGTTGGCCGCCTCCACGATCTCCCGGTACCGGCTGTCGTACCGCGAGGAGGAGGAGGAGGAGGACGTTGAGGAGGACTGCGGCGGGGAGGGGGGAGGGGTCGTGAAAGCGGGAGAGGACTGACTGGCCTGGCACGGGCGAAGGGGCGTTATGCCAGTGGCGAGGAGGGGACCCGTGGTGTGTGCCCGTACCGCCGTACTACCGCACCCCCATCACCACATCCTCAACATACCGCTAGCACGTACCGCGGTATGACCACCACCACCACCACCACCACCACCACCACCACCCCGCCCCCACCCCGCCCGGCAGCCCACCTGCTCATCCGCCATCTCGTTCTCCGGCGACAGCGGCTGTACGGCAGCGGAGCCCGCCTGAGCAGCTGCCAGTCGCTCACCTTCCCGAGCTAACAACCGCTTTCTTGCCTGTGGGGCGGGGGTGTGGGGGTGTGCGGGTGTGGGGGTATGGGGGTGTGCGGGTGTGGGGGTATGGGGGTGTGCGGGTGTGGGGGTGTGAGGTGAGGTGCAGGACACAGCGCGGCCAGGTAAGAGGGGGGCAAACGGATGACAATTATAACGACATTTTGATAGTATGAAGCAAAAAAGCAAAACAGTCAGATGCTGAA